CACAGGGGAGATGGCCGTCTGCAACACACACAGGGGTAGTGCAGCCTGATGTGTGCAACCCACTTGACACGGGAAACCACCACCGCTGCAGCGCCGTACCGCCAACACGAAGAGCTCTCCAAGAGCGCGCTGAACTCGTTCAGTCTTCTTCTCTCAGTAGAGTAGTCAGGAGCAGAACGATGTGATCGCTCGACTCCGAAGCGAAAAGCTGAATATGCGCTGCATCTGCTGCCTACTTATACTCACGCTGTGATCAGCGGCAGCTGGATGCAATAATCGCATGCCAATGTGCATTGGCTCGTTTAGTTTACACTCAAAGTAGATTGGTCTCTCTAAGCGAGATCCCAATTCGTCAGTCATCTGACGTGACGTCGAGAGTGACCGACTGAAAGGGAACAGTTCTGTGAACTCGTCAACAAAGGCTGGAGAGTATTTTGGAGGCCTGTATATAATGATAAGTTATGTGCGTGGAGCACATTTCAGCACAATACCTAGATATTCAGAAGACAAGTACTGACCAAATGACACTTGCTTGCATTGATAGACATCTTTAAATAGAGCAGCTACACCTCCACCTCTCCTAACAGCTCTGCAGACACTTATAAAAGTAAAGTTAGGAGGGGCTGTTTCATTTAGGACTGTTGCACTGCAGCTGTCTTCTAGCCATGTTTCATTTAGAAACATAAAATCCAGGTTGTTTGTGGTTATTAAGTCATTGATCAGAAATGATTTATTTTTTAGTGAGTGAATGTTTAAAAATGCTAACTTGATGGCATTACTTTTTGTCCCCATAGCAATCTCAGTTTGATGCATAATAGGCCACAGATTAGATGGGTCAGCCGTACGGCTTGAGAAGGCCTTATACTTTCTATCACGTGATAAAACAGAAATAGAGAAAGCTACAGGCACACTGGGTTCCTGCTTGTTCTGTAAACATTTGTAAAATGATCAGGAGACTATATAATCAGGAGATTATGTTCATAGATGTATTCTTTCCACAGAGTTCTGTCAAGTCTGACTACCTTTACAGTTTGTTTAAATAAGAATTTATTTTACGGGAATAATAATGTAAGATATAGGCAAGTTTGTTTGTGTTTGTGTGTGTGTGTGTGTGTGTTGATTCAAGTGCAATTCTGGCTTTTTTCCTCGCAATTCTAATTTTTGTAGCAAATTAGCTCAAAAGAGAAATTTATATAAATAATTACAATTAATTATAATTAATTACATTTATTTACCTCAGCTGCCAGTAGTAGCAAAATTAATATTACAATAATCTAATATGTTCATCCAGCGAACATATGGGGCCCTATTTTAACTATCTAAGCGCAAGGTCTGAAGCGCACGGCGCAGGTGCACTTAGGGCGTGTCAAAATCCACTTTTGCTAGTTTAACGAGGGGAAAAACAGTCAACGCGCCTGGCGCATGGTCTAAAAGGGTTGTCCCTATTCTCTTAATGAGTACTGGGTGTGTTTTGGGCGTAACGTGCAATAAACCAATCAGAGTCTCATTTCCCATTCCCTTTAAGAGCCAGTTGCGCTCGCGCCATGGCGGATTTGCTATTTACACGACGGTTTGAAGAGTGATGAACTCCAAAAGATGTTATTCTGACTCGGTGGTGGTTGGGAGAGTTTTCTCCCAGATGGAAAGTGAAGACATGGCTGTAGTCAAAGCCGGGAAGGTGATGAGAGCAGAGACAAGAGAACAAAACCAAAAACCCAAAAAGCTAGGCGGGTCACTGATGTGAGGGCTTTTAAGTTCGATGCAAGTCACACCTCTGGAGGATCAAAGAGCCAATGGTGACTTGAACTTTTGGAGGGAAAGTTTATGACTCTTTTTCTCCAAGCATGGTATTTTGCATATGTAACTGGATTGGGTGCTGATGCAAAACTATTAGAGATTCTTAGAACACTAACATGTTGCATAGGTATCAACATTAAATACACTCTCATTTAGATCATGAAAATATGAACTCATAGATACCAAACATGGTATAGGTGAGGTTATATTAACTAGTGATCTATCGTAACACATGCATAAAACAGTATACAATGCAAAATACAATTTACAAGAACAGTAATAATATACACAAGGACCTGAGGGTATGTGTGTTCATTCAAAGAAAGGTTTGTCTATGAATTAATTAGGATAAGAGTCCATTTCTATGGACATTATGTGTCTCTCCTATGAGGAAAATGAGTGAGAGTTGCTTTGCCCGCATTCATTTTGAGCAATAAAACCAGTGTTATCAGATGATTTGTCTTTGGTTGCCAAGGAACCAGAGGCCTGCTCTGCTTCTTTGAGGTGTTAGTTGCATTTCGGGGGAAGGGTCCATAGACCCTCATAGTTGGCTTGTTGGTTGGGTGAGGGGTGTTAGGGATTATTTGTTGAATATAACAAATTGTGTGTCTGATTGGTCCACACGCTATATTTTTTTCTCGCAACTCTGATTTTATTTCTCGCAATTGCAAGTTTATATCCCGCAATTCTGACTTTATGTACACAATATATCACACAATTCTCATGGTATAGGTGAGGTTATATTAACTAGTGATCTATCGTAACACATGCATAAAACAGTATACAATGCAAAATACAATTTACAAGAACAGTAATAATATACACAAGGACCTGAGGGTATGTGTGTTCATTCAAAGAAAGGTTTGTCTATGAATTAATTAGGATAAGAGTCCATTTCTATGGACATTATGTGTCTCTCCTATGAGGAAAATGAGTGAGAGTTGCTTTGCCCGCATTCATTTTGAGCAATAAAACCAGTGTTATCAGATGATTTGTCTTTGGTTGCCAAGGAACCAGAGGCCTGCTCTGCTTGGAGAGGCCTGCTCTGCCTCTTTGAGGTGTTAGTTGCATTTCGGGGGAAGGGTCCATAGACCCTCATAGTTGGCTTGTTGGTTGGGTGAGGGGTGTTAGGGATTATTTGTTGAATATAACAAATTGTGTGTCTGATTGGTCCACACGCTATATTTTTTTCTCGCAACTCTGATTTTATTTCTCGCAATTGCAAGTTTATATCCCGCAATTCTGACTTTATGTACACAATATATCACACAATTCTGAGACAAAAAGTCTGAATTGTGAGATAAAAAGTCGCAATTACCTTTTTTATTTTTTATTCAGTGGCGGAAACAAGCTTCCATTGATAGATGCTTTAAGGGTCCACTAAAAGTGAATTATTGATGTAAACATTAAATTTAGAGTACGAAATCCGATACTCTGTTTTGCTATTGGTCTGTCATGGATGCTTTTTTGTCGGATCGGATATCTGTCGGTCAGACAGGACTAATCCAAATGCAATACTGCATTATGGTTGTTACTGTTAAGCCCTGAATGCGCAAAAGATCTGAGCACCTGCAATACTGATAGTGCTCAATTCCACTAAATTCCCGTAATTAAATTCATTCAGATTAGTCAAATATCATTAGTGTGACTCTCGCTTAGAACAAAACGAAAGTGTGTCCAAGCATCAGACTTTTCTTACAGTACTGCAGAACGTTTTACCTGTGACATCCGATCATATTTTCATTAATACATTTTGAAAATCACTTAATCTCACTATAAGAACAAAACAGACCGACAGTGTCTTAATAGCACAATATTGGCCAATATTTAAATCTCCTAATAAAACAACACTGAAAACTTGCCCTAAAATTTGTTGTAAGGTAAAGCATTAATGCATTATAGACTGTCCTTACTTGACGTGACATTATTACTGTTGTTTAACATTAGGTGTTGGATTTAAACATCTAACCATAGTTCACTGCCACATTTGTGAAAACACAACTTTAAAAGTGCAGTACTGTCATTCTGGGAGTCAGACTGATTGAAATCACTTCAGCTTCTCTACACTGATCATCAGCACACTGCAGTAATGACAGAACTTGGACTTGGAAACTGGAGCCCAGTGACACCTGTCACTCTAAAAGTAATAAAGATTTGCATTGAGGTATGAGACAGAAAATCACTGCTATAGTAATAACATAGATGAATAATCGCTCTGGATTAACCCTTTATTGAAAACTCATCAAAAGTGATGTACAATATTCAAAACATGTCTAAAATGTATTATTTTTATTAATTTGATTAAAATATAACTTGTTTACTATTGTAGTTATTTACATTAACTGTTAATAAATGTTTCTTCTTGTAATGTGTTACCATGTTAATAATAATGTTGATATGTTTATTCAGGTGATGCAACTGATAGAAGAAAAGGTTGAAAGTAAACCTGATTCGAAGATTTACATTCCTGTGGTCTACTCTTCTCAGATTGTGCAGGGAACGAACTATGTGGTCAAGGTAAGTGAGTGTTTTTGTTTGTTTGCATTTTTTATGGATTATGAACTTTTGAATTCATCACTGAAAGTCGAGGCACAACTTGCACACTACCGTATATCAACTAGTCAACTGTGGCAGTGTGTCCTAACCAGGTGTAATGTGTCAAGTAATTTTTCCGTCCTCACTTAAAGTTAAAATGCATCAAGTCAAGCTTCTTGCATTTGCACAAGATTTTCTCAACTTTGTAGCACTGCTGGACATGCCTAAATGTAGTTGACAGCTGTCACTGTCAAACTTGTAAAGAGTTTGTCTATGTTAAACAGCAGTTGATTTCTCTCTCTCTGTCAGGTGTTGGTTGATGAAGATGGAGATGGTGTGTGTTTTCATGCAATGATATATCAGGCTCTTCCCGGTGATGGAGGGAAACCGATTCTGACTGGAATCCAGTTCCCTAAAACCTTTGATGACCCGCTGATCCCCTTCTGAACACTTACAGAAATAGTCTGTCTTTATTTAATAACAGACACATGCAATGAGAGGAACTACTGAAATAATTTCAATCCTCAATATTAAACTGTATTCAAATCCTCCAGTGTCAGTGTGTTTACTGAACAATATCAAACTCACTTCACAAACGTTTTACGCTGAAATAACTGAACAAAAATATTCCTCATTACAAATTTTTGAATATAAAATATTTTTTTTCAAAATAAATTATCGAATTTTAAGATTTTATTGACTTCAATGACTTTAATTGAAATATGTTATACAAAAGCAAAATGTTTGTGTTTGTCACATTTGTTTTGTTTCGATATCAATACGACAATTTTTAATAACACAATCACTGTATAAACACAAAAGGATAACACTTATTTTCCATCTCACAACTATGAGAACTGCTTCTTTTGAATGGTGAGATGAAGTACAATATCTTTAAAATCCTAAAATACATACCCACGTCATATCTTACCAGAAAATGAGTAGGAATAAATAGGTAATAATATTTTGCTTATAGAAAATTAAACCCATTTTGGTCCCACTTTATATAAGGTGTCTTTATACAACTTACATTAAAAAAAATATTTTTAGGTACAATCTCCTGATTATGTTTGTGTTGAATTGCAAAACTTTTGTTGCTACTGAGGTAGAATATGGTTAAAGTTAATGACAGGTTTGGTGATATGGGTAGGTTTAAGCAGTAAGGTTATAGAGTCAAAATTGTAAATATAGAAGTAGCTATGGAAAAGTAATTACAGATGTAATTACATTTCGGCTAATTTAAATAAAAGCACAATGTAAAAACAGGTATGTACACAATACATGCATTGTATCAAATTATTAATTTAAATGTTGGTACATATAGCCTACTTAAAGACACAAAGTGTATCCCCCATATTTTTTATTATTTTTTTTTTTTGCATTGTGACATTATTTTAATGACTATTAAGCACATTTAACCCCCAAATTATCATCATTTTAATACAAAAAACAAAACAAAACAAAACACTGATATATTATTAAAGTTGTAAGTATTTATACATCATTGTCATATTTATTGTGTGCCTTTAATTTATGCTTATTTACAGCAATTATGATCCGAAAAGAGTACTGATTTTGAAGAAAGATCTATTCTTTTAGTGTCACACTTAGATCTGCCACTAATCTGAAATTCAAGCGGCAGTTTCTGGCCTTGAGAAGATTGATGGTATGTTCAAGTTTTTTTGTTTTTTTTATCAATTTACATGTATCCTTAATTAATTTTCTTCTCACTCTTTCATACAGTCTAAAGATATTTTCTCTTCCAGCTTCTCCCATGATTTTGTTCAGGAAAATATTAGTTATGCACTCTTAAAATTGGGCCAAGTGTATCTGTTTATATGTATACATTTTCCGTATTGATTTTTCACAGGTGTTTTCGTAAGTTTTGAATTAAAAATTGCATTGTGTTGTGTTTTAGGCTTAAAGATTTTTTCTTATGTTTGACTGTCAACCAACTAATAATACAGGAAGAAAACATGTAAAGCCACCATCCGTCTGTAATGGGGTGAACGAGACGTGAGACATGCGGATCCATGTGCAAGGCTTTATTTACAAAGGCGTGGTCAATAAACAGGCAAGGGTCAGATAACACAGGTATATCACAGGCAAGACAAAGAATATTCCTAGGGCTAGCGTGGGTCTTCGATCGGCGAACAGTATCCAGAGGGCTTGACAAGAGGAGTGATCCAATAACACGAGCAATAGTCCAGGCGAGGTGCAAACACAGTCCGAAACAGCAAGACAAAGGGTTAATCCAAGAAAAACAGGCAGAAGGTCAGGAAACAGACAACAAGGCAACATGAAGTGGCTAGACTAAGACTGGAACTAGGACCGGGAACTAGGAATGGCTCCGTAATGCAGCTATCGCTATAAGAGTAGCGCTAAACAATACTCAGCCGTGAGAGAGAGGAAGTCCATGGCTTATAAAGCATGTCTCATTGGATGCAGCTGTGTGTGTGTAATCAGTGCAATGGATGATGGGAAATGCAGTCCAGGGTGATGTGTAACAGTCTGTGTGGTGTAATGGGAGAGCGACCTCTGGTGGCAATCGGCCGGAAGGCCACGGACCGGATTCGTGACACCGTCTTTCAAAATATATTTACATCTTTGGTTCTGTGTGTATCTAAAATGACAGAAGAATGTTATGAACGGCTGCGTAAGATTAAAAACTGTTTACATCAACTATAACCAACACACAATGCTTCAGATAATCACAATGACAAACATCTGAACCGTTCTTTACACTGTCAAAGGCATTAAGCAAGTCAAATGTTTTACATGTTTTTTACTGTAAAATGGCATCCTAGCTTATATAATAATTAAGCACAGTGACAAGTTATAGCCAACACCCATTGCTTCCACTAAAATTGTATTATAATTTATGAAGCAAATGACTCAACTGAAGTTAAACATAAGTCAGCATGTTCATGCACTACAATGCATTGTAAAATTACATGGAAGTGTAAAGCTGAAATTCCTGTTAAGACGAAACACAAACATTTTCACAATAAACCAATAAACCCACTAATCTTTGAAGATATCAAAGAAAGAGCAAAAAACACCCTCTTATCATATGATTACAAAAGAATACAAATATAACATTTTATTTGCCAGGTAGCAATAGATTATGGAGTGGAAATCGGGAGGGGCAGTCTGTAGTTTCTTACAATTTCATGCTTTAGACTGTTGTATTACACATTTTGCTTTAAAAATGGTGTTTTGTTTCGTTTAAACACTTTTCAGTGTAATCATGTTTTCTGCAGCTCTGTGTGGCAGCCAGGGCCGTGCACAGACCTTTTGAGGGGCATGTGCTGAAATTGAAAAAGGGCAGCCCCCCTTTTTTTACTGGTCACATCTTAATGATAAGCGGAGAGTATAGAATACTACATTCAAAAATTAGCTAGCCTGCCCTACCTGTGCACGTGCCTGGTGGCAGCACATTAGCTGAAGACGATAGCAAAGAATTAATCTGGGAAAAAATACAAGGTGCAGCTTGATTTGAAGATTCAGTTCTGCCTAAAGCTGAGAGTCATTTTATTATCATGTGAACCCTGATTATATTTGATTTCCCCCCCAGATTCCTTTAAGCATTCAAGACCTATTAAAGAAATGAATATGTTTGAGGAAATGCAGTTCTTTGCATTTCCGCTTTTATTTATTGATATGTTCTATCTTTTGTGTCAACTGGCCTACTAACATTAACAAAAGGTCAATACATACTGTAATAAACGTACTGCTCATGCACATATGTGCATACACAAAGTGTTTGCAAAAACATCTGATTTAACAAGATAGACAAACTTGAATTATGCGTTCCCAGATAACAAGAAATCAATGTTTCTCGCTTTTACAGACCTCGCTTGTTGATTGTTGATTTTTCCAACACAAAAACTGAATCTTACTGATAAAGAAGCTGCAAAACTGTATATGAAGCAATACATGGAGGATGTATATAATTATTTGAGTCAGTTCAGTTTGGGGCCTTTCGGTAGGTTGAACTGTCTTTACAATGTATTTGATTTGTATATTGTCATTTATTAATGCGTAAACCGAGAAGTGCTTTACTCTAAGATTCAACAGAGTTTTCAATTAGCAACAAAAAGGTTTTAACTGAAGCCATGGAAGAACCTTTGCTTTAGACAACCAGTATAGTACATGATTATTTAAAGGGACAGTTCACTCAAAAATGAAAAATCTGTCATCATTTACTGACCCTCATCACGTTCCAAACCCATAAGTCTTTGGTTCATCTCCGGAACACAAATGAAGCTAATTTTAATGAAATCGGATTTCTGTCCTTCTGTTGAAAGTCTGTTCACCCAAAATTATGACGCTTCAAAACATTCATAAAGTATTGGTAAAAAATCCAATATGAATCAGATGGTTTAATCCAAGTTTTCTGAAGATACACAATCACTTTACATGATGAACAGATTTAATTTAGGCTTTTATTCACATCTGATTTCTTTCTCAACTGACAATGCGTTTACATGAACATGCCAAGCCGGTCATTTTTATATATTTTTTAGGCGGGATAAAAGAGCACAGCTGTAAAGGAAAGCAACAGGATGCGTCACAATAATAATTTTGTCTCAATGATCGTGTTTTCATAATCATTGAAAACCAAAATCCACATTTAAAATAAAAATTTAATAACCGCACACCCCTACAGTACTTTAAAGCATGAAGCTTAAGAAATTAAAATAAAACATCCAAAACTATTTTAACCTCCAAATATAGTCAACAGAAAGTCAACATACAGAATATAAAACAATATAGGAACCTCAGAACCATTTACTAAATTTAAGAACCACTGTGCATTTGTATTTCAGATCTTTTCTTGAGCATTTGTAGATGCATGGTTCAGTGGATCTGGGGCAGGGGAATTAAGACTTCCTCCACAAAATGAAAGGTGAGAACAGACTATTAACTAGAAATTCAGTAATGTGAATTATATAATAGACGGACTCATTTCATGCTGTGATCCCTCAGATGAAACCGTACCTTCTACTCTTCTGGAAAGTGAGAAGAGAGACTATATACACGCCGGACTATTGCTGAACTCACCCTACTTCTCAGTGCTCAGAAAAGAACGAGACATTGACCTCATCATTTCCCTGGATTTCAGTGATGGTGATCCTTTTTTTAAACCATTTTTACCATCCTTTCATGGTATTATACGCATTTAAAAGGCATACTCTAATAAAAGTTAAAGGAATAGATCACCCTCATGTCATGTCATTCCGAACTGTATTTCTCCCTTTTTTCAGTAGAAACCAACAGGACATTTTTTAAACTAATATTGCCACTTTTTTCCTCGTTACTAGGACACACTAACCTTACAACGCTGACAGATAATAGGCTTGTTTGAGATGCGCCTCGCCTTGCCTGAAATGTAGGCAACAGTAGGTGGCTGCAGTGAGGGGAGGAGTGAAATAAACACAGTC